GGCCGCTCGCCGCCCCAGGCCGGGCGCGGCCCCTTCTGCCCGCGCTCCCAGGCGCTCGCTCTCCGGCTCCGGCCGGGTTCGCTGAGATCCGAGCGGGGCTGAGGCGGCAAGTGGGGGTGACAGGCTGGCGGGTGTTGTGGTGCGGAGGAGGCAGCACGTGTGGTGTTGTGTCTGTCGGGCTGTCAGCCCCTGTGCTGGGAGGGGAGGCGGCGGGCTGCCTGTCAACCTTCGGCCGGTTTGGACGGGAGCTGCGGGACCTGTCAGGCTCCTTGGGCAGCCTGCGTGCCCCAAACGCCTCCTTTGAACCGGCCTCTGTGGAGCTTAGGATTTGGAGGAGCCGGGAATGGGAGATACATTGCTCTTAACTCTTTCACGTGATTTCATTGTTAACTTAGTCCTCGGGTTCTGTTTCCATCTAATGGGAACGGCGAAGCTACCCGTTGGCAAGCTGCAGGGTTGTGCAGTTCCAAGTTTTTAAAGTTTCTCGCTCTTTAAAAAGAGAGCGCGAAGATGTGTCTGGGGGTGGGGAATGGAGACCGGGGAAGGACTGTCGGAAGCAAGTTGTACTTTCTCTCTAGCCGCTGGTGTACTTTCAGAGAGTTAAAGTTCAAGTCTGCAGGCGCTTTACTTTCGGAAGACCTGGAGACTGGTGAAAACCCTGGCCAGAGAGACAATGAGTAGCTGTCATTCATTCGTTTACCTGCGAGCATAATCAATTAGGACGTTCCCAGCTTCTTAAACTCAGGTTGTAGCCTCTCATTTAGTTTAGCGTTAATGTCTATATAATGAACGTTCTTGGAGTAATAAGACTATGATTTCTATCCTCTCGAGACTCTCACCAAAATGAAGCATAGCTCTCTCAGGGGGGCTTCTTTTTAGTCAGCTAATTTAAAAATAAATCTTGGCTCAGGTTTGAGTGTTTACTTCAGCCTTTTCTTTCCTATTAGAGTTAATAGGACTGTAGCTTTCCTAATGTCTGTTAGTTTTCCTTTTGATTTTAATGTCAGTCCTAATACTTGCTGCGGGAGCCATTTTTCTATCATTGTTTATGTTGTAATGTAAATGCTCCTCAGAACAAGAGCAGACGTTCTAAAAAAAAATAAGTCAAGTTATATTTATTTTTTGGAAGCAAAGAAGTTAATTTGATTCAGAATTCATTATTTTGGTGATTTTCAAAAAGATGTGTATCTGCCAGATCTTTTTGTTTCAAAGAAGACTATTGACTTTGATCCTGAAGAGGGAATATATTTATGTGTTTGTGTTTTACTCATTAATGTACATTTCAGGTCAGCAATCTTGAATCTGTGTGTGAGATTTCTTTAAACCTGCCAACAGGCAATATAGTACATTTGAAATGTAGTGTGTGCATTTTTGAACCCAGTGATTCTGGACCTTTCTTACTTCTAGTTTATCTGTAGCTTGGTTGTGAACATTTTGACAGTTGTTTCTCCCTCTAGTATATCGAATATTAGTATTTTAGTTTGATTTAGGAGAAGCTATCAGCATGTAATTCTTAAAATTTGAATTTGGATTTTAAAATTCTTTAACGACTTTTCTCACTTGATTTTCAGTATTATTTTTGTTTCCATTTGGAATGTTTACAGTAATGTACTTAAAATATGAACTTTATCTGTGTAAATTGTATTCTTTGTTTCTTTTAATATATGAAATAGTTAAAATTTTCTCAGTGTTTTTTTGCCTTATTGACTTTTTTTTTTTGACTTTTTATGCAGTTTGAATGTCTGGAATTTTGAAAGATGAAAGATTCACTCTTACTTTCATTGCAGGATTCTTTCTACTAATCCAGATACTTGTTGAAGTGCTGAATAGGTTCTTGGGGAAAGATGTCAAGGAAGAGTTTCAGTTCATAGACTGGTGAGCAGAGATTGTGGAGTACAGAATAGTCAGCACCCCTCTGCTTAGTTGTAGCCTAAGGTCATTCATAGTATGTCTCATCTTGTTTCCTCATTGTATCCTAATTATTCATCTTTTTTTTTTTTTTCCTTTTTACCCCAATGGTTTACATACATAACTGTTTTTGGAATGTTGGTAGAAACTTGTTAAAACTCTACAGGTGCTCAGTAAACACTTGATATTTGATTATCTTTAAAGACTAGGATGTCTCAGTTATTAGCTTATTTACAAAATGGGACTTGATAGAAAACTGACCTTGTTTGTTTTTCAGGCATAAGATGCACATTTTTCTGCTGGGAAGGAGATGTTCTTGAGTTACAACTTTATGAAGAGACCCATGTGTGGTGCTATTGAGAAGTTTATTGGGAAATTTAAAGACATTTCAAATAACAGGTTGTTTTGGTTTCTAAAGTAAAAGTGAGGAGGCACTCTGTGAAGGGAGAAAGGACTCAGGCCAGAAAACTTGTATGCTATGGTTAACTGGTTCCCAGCCTCCGAGAATGTTGTTTTCCATGGTGTAAAACTTACTCAGCATCAGGATAAGGGATAACGACTCTATGGATATACAGAATCCTTCACCATGGTAAAACTCGCTAACCCGCTGTATACGGAGTGGATTTTGGAGGCCATCAAAAAAGTGAAGAAGCAAAAACAGCGTCCTTCAGAAGAAAGGATATGCAATGCAGTGTCTTCATCCCATGGCTTGGATCGTAAAACTGTTCTAGAACAATTGGAGTTGAGTGTTAAAGATGGAACAATTTTAAAAGTCTCCAATAAAGGACTCAATTCCTATAAAGATCCTGATAATCCTGGGCGAATAGCACTTCCTAAACCCCGAAACCATGGAAAATTGGATAATAAACAAAATGTAGATTGGAATAAACTGATCAAGCGGGCAGTTGAGGGCTTGGCAGAGTCCAGTGGCTCGACTTTGAAAAGCATTGAACGTTTTTTGAAAGGTCAGAAGGATGTGTCTGCATTATTTGGAGGCAGTGCTGCCTCTGGCTTTCACCAGCAATTACGATTGGCTATTAAACGAGCCGTTGGCCACGGCAGACTCCTTAAAGATGGACCTCTTTATCGGCTCAACACTAAAGCAACCAGTGTGGATGGGAAAGAGAGTTGTGAGTCTCTTTCCTCTTTACCTCCAGTGTCACTCCTTCCACATGAAAAGGATAAGGTAAGAGTGGCATATGCATCAGTGTTCGTAGAGCTGATGCTACAGCATGCTATGAAGTCGTATTTCTAAGAAGTTATATAGAAGTTACATTCAGGTTTTGTGTTTGGGGACTTATGGAATGATCACCTCTGGTTTTTTATTGATGAGTTGTTAGAATTCAGTAGATACCAGTTGTCCTTATACTTTGAAATATTTGATACCTGAGTCTCAGAGTGTATTGATGCACCTAAAAGAACATGTTTAGATTAGAATTTAAAAGTAGCATTCAACTTGAAGGCTGTTGTAAGTTCTTACAACATCTTATTGCTGGAAGTTGATGAGCGCTGCTAAATGTTGGAGGCTTGGATTTGAAATAAGCAGGTGACTCTAAGAACCTCTCTTTTTCCTTTTTTTCTTTTTGTTTTACATTATCATGAGGCAGGAGTGAGACTGATTCTCCTGGCCCATAGTAATAGCTAAGCAAATTTATCAGTTCTTATTTCTGTTGTATTCTAACTTTCTGTCATGTATTCTTTTCATAGGATGAAGTCCTAAGTGTTACTGTTTATGACAGGGGTAACTACATGGGTCAGGAATAAAGTATCCTGTATTCCTAAAGTTCTGTGGAGTTGTGAGTTTTGATACACAGTGGTATACCATACTGTACTCAGTGTTTCATGCTGTTATTTTGTGCAGTTGAAAGTACACTAAGAAACAGCAAAATGTGGCCCTTAAATAGATACTGGGGGATGAGGAGAATTTTGTTAGTAGCAGTTTTTTACATTGACCTAGTGTCTTAGCTGTAAATTTATTTCAGGTGTTCTGAATTGTAGTTCTGGGGAGAGTGGTAGTACAGATGGACACTTTAGTATACAATAGTAAAATAATCTTTATCTTGCCTAAGATCATGGAAGCTACTTCTAGGTTGAGAAGATTGTAAAGTTAACATTGAATGTATTTTAAAGTATTTGAGATTCAGTCTAAATTTATTGCAGTTAATAACCCACTTATAGATTTTTGTTTGAATAACAATTGAAAATTAACAGTATTTTTCTTTGATGAAGTTTTTAGAGATCTATTTTAGGGTTCAATTTTCTCTGTGAACTTTGAAATAGAAACATTATCTTACTGTTATTAACCTTGAAATGATTCTGATAGAATGGTTCTTTGTCATTTGAGCATTTATTAAAAGTGTGGTATTAAAAATTCAAGGTGGACAGGTAACTAACATGCTTTATTCTGTAGTTCAGTGCTGTTGTAGAACTCTTACTGTAAGAACTGTTTCTTGATCACATATGGCTGAAGTTAAAAGAAGTATGATTGATTCCTGAAATTGTTACCAAATGATCTATAGGTTAACTACTGGAAACAGGAAATAATTTATAGTTTACAATGAATTCAGTGTTGTGTGAATTGAGTATTATAAATTCTTGTTAGAACACCTGGGTGCTTGCTTTCATTATAGTTTCCCTTGCTTGAATTAGATATTTTAATTTTTAAAAATATTAGCCATACATAAGACGTCAGTTGTGCATATTTTTAAAAGGTAGCCAATATAGTACACTATGGGACATATCTGAGTCCTGTCACCCTAGGATTTTACTTTTGAAAGGGATCTTGAGAACCATCTAATCCAACCATTCCTACTTTACAGCTGAGCTGAGACCTCTACATTAAAAAAAAAAGTTTAATCCAGTAGAGATTTGCTGGTTTACTTTGGTTAGAAATATCTTTTTGGTTACATAACTGTAATATATAGTGTTACTAACCGAAGTAACTAAATTTGGAGTATACATTTAGGAAAATTGAGTTTCATTGAATTGAGACTTCTATATATGTGTACTGGTCTGAATTGAAAACTAATTTTATGATATCTATGAAATTAGAGTTGATGAGATCTGTTATGTATTTTTAAATAGTCTTATTTTCAGTAGTAATTTTCCTGAGTGCTTCCCCCAAAGATAGGAAAAGCTCACATTTGAAATCATAATACAGTGAGGAATTATTCCTTCTCTGAACAGATTATATAGTTTTGCTCTTTATATTGTATTTTATTTACTTTCTTTCCTCTTTTTAAAATTGATTGGTTTGCTGTTATGAACCTAGATATTCTCAAAAAAATTATCTAGGGTGTATTCGACAGTGATGGAGAAAGGAAAGTGTAGGCCAGAAGTAGTTCCACTTTTAGGCCTTAATTAATTCAGCAAAAGGTTATTGAGCACCTGTTGTGGGCCAGGCACTCTCCTTAGAACTGAAATGGCATTATTTCAAGTTCCTCTTTATTTTTTTCTATATCAATTTTAACTTTTATTTCTTTGGGATATCAACTTTTGGAAGGAACTGTAGAACTGTTAGATTTTCAGCAACTGAGTGGTTTTTGCTACTTTTGGTGGGATCAGCTGTGTAGAAATACTGTATTTTTAAGAGTTTTTGTGAACACACTTGAAGTTAAGTGTGCTTTCACATTTGTAAATAGGAAAATCCGTGGGATACTATGATTTAAAGGTTTTATCCACGTTGTAAGGGAAATTTCTGAGCTAGCTTTAGGGTTGTGGTAGTTTATGGTGACTTTGTTTAACTTGATATGTTTACCATGTGCCAGGCATTACTTTAAAGCTATACATGTACTAACTTATTTAATTCTCATACAACTCAATGAAGTAGGTCCTGTTATCTTACAGGTGAAGAAATTGAGGCATAAAGAGGTTTAGTAATTTCTCCGAGTCACAGAGATACTAAGTGGCAAAGCTAGGATTTGAACTTGGGCAGTCTGGCTCCAGTCTTTATAACAGCTATACCTACTGCCTCTTGGGAGTTGTTACATATAATGCCTGTCACTGCAGTCAGGTACACAATTGTGAATGTTCTTGGTGTTAACTTCATAGCACATTCTCTAATTATGAAAGGACACATTTCCCCATACCTCCACCCCTTCATGGTTTGTGTCTTTTTCTCTATGATAGACTGGATTCTAAAACTGGCCTTGAACCAGTGATAAGAATGTATCAGAAACCAGAGATTATGAAAAATCTAGTTTTGTATACCTGAGGTCCATAAAAAAATGGTTTTTTTTTAAAGATTTTATTTATTTATTTGACAGAGAGATAGCGAGAGCAGGAACACAAGCAGGGGGAGTGGGATAGGGAGAAGCAGGCTTCCTGCCGAGCAGGGAGCCCGATGCGGGACTCGATCCCAGGACCCTGGGATCATGACCTGAGCCGAAGGCAGACGCTTAACGACTGAGCCACCCAGGCGCCCAAAGAAATGGTTTTTTTTTTTTTTTTTTTTTATTCATGAGAGACAGAGGGAGAGAGAAAGGCAGAGGGAGAAGCAGGCTCCCAAGGAGCAGGGAGCCCGATGCGGGACTCGATCCCAGGACCCTGAGATCATGACCTGAGCCGAAGGCAGACGCTTAACCATCTGAGCCACCCAGGCGCCCAAAATGGTTTTGTCTACATGACATTTTGTTTTATTTTTTTTTTCTTGAAGATAATGTCTGTGCTTATTAATTTTCATTTTATCTGTTACTGAAGTTTTCTGATTTGCAGTCTGGGATTTGTTGCATGGCTGTAATAGCGTGCTTTCATTTGGGAATTCAAAATGTTGCTTTTCCTTGAATTGTGGCATAGAGATGAGGGTGATAGTGTGAAACTGGCTTAAATAACAATTGGCCCCTTGCAAATTTCGTTCCTTTTGAAATACAGATTTTACTGTAAATAATTTGTTCATTTGTTTCATTTATTCATATTCAGCAAACATTTAGATGTTTACCATAACAATGAATTTAGGATTTAGGTCTTGTTGAGGATTAAGGCTAAGAGAGGTGAAATAAATGTTTTGGGGATTCTTTTTTAGTGTATAAAATACAACTTTTAGTTTTTTACAGTCATTGTGTTTATAACAATTAAGTGTTGTGAATCCCTGAGAAATAATGAGATGTTTCTTGGGGGAGGCTGTATTATTTGAGACTGTGATGGTTTGTATCTTTAGACACTGAGTCTTGGAAGGAACCTTTTCAGGAATAATTTTCACCTTGATTTCAAACTTTTGGGTTCATTTTAACACAGAAAAATGTACTTGAATATATATTGCTTATGTTCCATATTACTTGTCCAGAAAACTGTACTCTTGTGATAATCAGCCACATCATTAAAGTGTTATTCTGTTGAATAGTGTTGTGGAATATTTGCTGAAGCATTAGTTGGAAAGGGTAGAGAAAGTATTGTCAACCAATGTTATTGTTTAGATTATTACCCAGCTAGGTTAGTAACCTGGAGGAGAAAGATCAAGTGATAAATTTATAGCCTTTTTAAAATAAGTTCTATCTCAATACAGTAAACCGTTAGTAGAATCCAAATTATTTTTGTTACTGGAATTTGACATTTTAAATTCACAGAGTAAGTGGGGCTTTGATGTACAGATGTGAATTTGGGAATATGTTTTCAAGTTACTGAGTTAAGAATAATAAAGCTTTGATTTAGCTATTTGGAAATGGCCTTTATAGTAAAATTGATGCTATGTCATTTTTTGGGGACTCTAAATGTTGTGGGCCCTGAGGAAAAGCTGGCTAGAAATAAAAATTTGTTAACTACAAGTTATTGAGGTAGGTTAAATATAAATGTGGTTAGGAATTGCCTTTGTCTCAGCAGACTTCGTCTTATTAAAAACCCAGAATTTTAAAAATAACTCAGGCAGAGATATCTTTGTAATACAGTACAATCAGCTGTATGGACAATTTTGGGTCTTCTAGTTAGCCTGTGAACTGTGTATGTTTTGGGTAATTTTCAGCCCATGATACACCCTGAAAGAAAATTTGATCAACTAAAGCAGTCTTTGGTTTTAGCCATTGCTAATCAAAACTTCTATACCCAGCCAATGCACGCAACCTAGATATTTTTCCTATACTTTTGACAGTACCACTTTACTCTTTCTTGGACTAACTTCTAATAAATTGATGAAATAAAGGGAAGACATTAATGAAGATGTCAGATACTATAAATTGCTTCGGGAATAGGGATCTA